GTTAACAACATAACACGTGCTGATTTACTATACTAATACACTTTTCTAATGTTAGGAACATTAGGAAATGCACTAACATTGATACAGTGATACTTAAATTCGTGTTTTACAGGGTAGTTATACCAAAGTCATGCGCTTTGGTATAACTACCCTGAGTCATGGTATTAATGTGGTGCAATCAGTCTTTCAGAAAACGCAGCTAAATGCAATACACTAAGTTAAAAATAAATTAAACATCAGGGCAACTCCAGAAAACTCAGCATTCTCTAAAAATAGTTTAGGCTGTTTGCTTAAGCAAAGTGTCCAAGAGGACTGGCTAAATATGAACGTTTTTCCACCTCAAGTGAAGGTAACAGTGTATGTCTGTATAAGTCTGTAGTTACTTGAGATACAGTTAGCTTCAGTTTATGCTCCATTTTAAAAAAAATAGTAACATACTGTCAGATGTCAAAATCAAATCCACTGTCATTGTGTTGGATAAAAAGACAGAAAAACAAACAAACAGCTGCAGGGCGATAATGAGTTACCGTAACTTGGAAAGTATTTCAGTGCTCGACAGCGTGAGGAGGGCAAGTGGAGCCTGAGCTGTTCCTCTCTGGGTGACAGACACATTTCTAGGGCTAGCAAACTAAATGTTTCAAGTGTCTGATATCCTCTGTTTTCATAAAGCATTTTTAAAATCAGCTTCCTATGTTCAGGTTCAGTGTTCACCTCAAGTCAGTGAGGCATAGGTAAGTGATTGCCTCATGAAAGCCCAGTTCAGCATGAAACAAGGATCAGCAGTAATCACACAATGCAACTGTAATAGAATAAACAATGATAAAGATAAAACAAACTACACTGTGCATAGTGTTCAAAATAAAGATAAACATAAAAATGTGATCAACAAAAAAGAATAAACAACTGTGGTAAGAGTATATTGTTGTCATGTCAAGTACATTAAGATAAAAACTGGTGTGTGAAGTTGGCAAACAACATTATGACAAACAGTCTGAGCAGACTGATGAATGGGAACTGACCGGTTTGAATGTCACATGATGTGATTTGTCTTCTGATTAATGCTGTCAACACAGTGGCTTTTGATGACTAAGGGAAATGGCATTTGAAGGTTTCTGCCAGGAAACTCTGCTTTCGAGGACACCGTCGAGTGTGGGATTTAGCTAGGTTTGAAGCAGAAGCATTTCATTATCCTTTAGTTCTCACCGAGAGCTTTCGCAAATGATATCAAGGAAGGAGGTGGCATTTAGAGGCTGAAGTCTTTAAAAGCTCTTTGTATTGTAAACACAGCTGTAACGTTGGCAGGGGAAAAGCCAGTGATTCTTTTCCTATTCACTGCTGCTACATTTTACAGCACGCTTAAGCTGAAATGAATTGATGTGACTGCTGAAGCTTTATAGCTTAAAATGATGTAGGTTAAACAGCAGCCACCACCTCTTTTTCTAGTAGTGATACCGGCCTGGAGACATGTTTAACGGGTGGGGTTAGTCATGAGGGCCCTCCCTGAGTTAGTCACTTTGAAGCACTTTGAACTAAGTGTGAGCTAAAAACCACTGGGAGGAGGGTGCTATAGGCTCCAGATTCTCAATAACAATATTTCTGATGATATAGAAAAATGCTACTTGTATTCAGCAGCATTTATAAGTTTAAGTAAATAAAGGTTATTTGCCATCCTCCTTTTCCAGTTAGCTACTGCCATTAGTGGCAGTCAGCAGCTGCACAATATTGTTAGTGATTTAAAAAAAAAAAAATCCACCTGGGATGTTGGATCTTGGGTTGAACTTTTTTTATCCAGCTGCTTAAAGCCCAGCGTTCCCACCGTCTAACCTAATCAGTAATTTCCTCTTCCTGTCATATGGTGTAAATTTGTTTGCTTTTAGACTGCACAACACCAACTTCTAGTATCTCCTCCTTCATAGTCTGGTTGTACTTGATCGTGTGTTTGTGGTTTCCACTTTTAGCAGGAACCGTTTTCTTGCATATTCTGCAAAGCGTTGTGCTTTGTTTGAGGCTGTTTCAGGTACTAAACTGTCATCAGAGACCAAAACAGGATTGTGTCATTGCTTCCTTAAAGGAGAAGGGAATTAATGCAGTTATTGGGCAGTTGAATTGATGAGTATTAATACTGACTCCATCCATAACAATGTTTCACAAAAGGGCCCATTTCTTTTCTGAAGCCAGTGTAATTAACTCTACATCTGCCCATTTATCTTTGTATGACTGTCACCAGACTCATCAAAGAGCCACAGTCACTCCCATCCCACGGTCACTCACAGTGCTGTGGGCCCTATGTATGCCATGGGCACGCCTATCCCTCCGCACCACCACCAAGGCAGCGACGGTACGACAGAGAAGAAGAAGAAGGAGGACAAAGATCGAGACAAGCACGAGAAGGATAAAGATAAGGTGAGATAGTATTTAGTTACATTTCTCGTTCTTTGTAAGGAAATGTTAATGATGTGCTCAATTGTTGTTGTTGTTTTTCTGTCATCAAGCCCAAGAAGAAAAACACAACAGCGTATCAGGTGTTCTGTAAGGAGTACAGGGTCAACATAAATGCAGAACAGCCGGGACTAGGTGAGAAAAACTTTGAAATGCAGTATAATTTGTGATGAAGCACTTTAAATCTAACGGTAAGAAAAAAACATATAAACTGAATGGGTTTGCATATAATCTGCAGTGTTTGGCGAACTGAGTAAAAAGTTGGCAGAGGTTTGGAAGGCGATGCCTGAAAAGGACAAGCTGGTAGGTTTTTGTCTTTTGCTATAATCCAGTGTGGCTTACATGCCTTTAAGTGCTGGTGGTGTGCTTCATGTGTGTGTTTTTCTGTAGGTTTGGAGGCAGAAAGCTCAGTATTTGCAGCACAAACAAAACAAAGCTGAAGCCACGACGGTCAAACACAAGACGTCCAGCGAGACCAAAAGCAAAGGTATATTTGACTGTGAGCGCAGTGGTTTTTTTAGTCCACTCACTGTTGGATCTTTGCTGCCGTCTGTAAGTGCCGTTTTCTCTGTAAAGTTGCAGGGACATCGACAGGAGTGGTGTCTCCAACCAGAGCGCCTAGCACCATGTCCCTGTCCCCGGCTCGAGTCCCAGATGTCGATCCCATCGATGCAGCGGCTCACCTGCAGCTGCTGGGAGAGTCTCTGTCCCTAATTGGACATCGGCTCCAGGAAACAGAGGTGAGTTTTAAATGCGCACACCTATAAAAGCTTTTATCTAGAAATAAAAGCATAAATGCAAAGTTTTAAATTGAATTCGTTAATGTGCAATGAAACCAGGAAGCCATGTTTTCTCGCACTAGGGGATGGTGGCTGTATCCGGGAGTTTGTCTGTTCTTCTGGACTCTATCTTGTGCGCGCTGGGTCCGCTGACCTGTCTCACAGCACAGATACCACAGTTAAATGGATGTCCTCGAAACGTCCTGGTATCGTACCATCAGCTTCATTCAATTCTTCACAGATTCTGCCGTTAAACGTTTCTGCTTGTTTTTGATAACCGTTCAATGTATAATATGTGGTTTTTATCGCTAACTGCTAACAAAGCTCTTGTCTCCTTCTGTCAGTCAAATACATTGGACAACATCGCCTACATCATGCCTGGACTTTGAGGAAAAGATGACTGGAAATCTGGGAGAAACACTTGACCAGGGAGATCCTTTGGACTTTAATTTAAGCCTCGGCTTGGCATTTGAAAAATGTGGATATTTTTAGCATCGATGTGTTTTTAAAGTGTATTTTTTTAAGAACTTGTTTCTCTTAGATTTCTAATTGCTGTATTTTTGAATGGAACATGTTAATCTTACAAGGCACGTCAGCTTGGTTTTACTGTTACTGTACAACTGTCTGTTTTATGGATGGATGTAGTGGACTGAATGTGTGTGTTTGTGTATGCTTAGCTCTTCAGTGGCACGTTAATTGCGTGAGAGTTCAATACATGTCTACATATTGAACTTTTTTCTTTTTTACAGAAGTGTACAGAAACCTTTAAGTTCCCTGCTCATCACTGACATAATGTAATATATTTCACATTGGCTTAGTTGTTCTTTTATTTTGTATAAATGACTCATTTTATACATGTAATATTTTACTGTGTATATAACATGTGAAAACTTGATTGAATACACCTTTAGGTGTGACTTTGTTGTCGTGAAGAGCTGTTCCAACAATTCACCGCCGGCTTAAACTTGAACCATGTGGCAACATTAAAATGATCACTTCCCAGATTCAGCTAATATTTTTTAATGAATTCTGAGTGTCCATGCTTCCATGTTTATGTCAAATGTTGACCCTACCATTCAGTTTTCACAGTAGAAATTTAGACTCATCAGACCAGGTACCATCCACTACTCTCTGATTGTGGTAGCTGTAGCCTCAGTTTCTTTTTCATAACTGACAGGACTGGCACCATGTGGGGTTTTCTGCTGCTGGAGCCCATCAGCTTCAAGGTTTGATGCGTTGTTTAGTCAGATCTTGTGCATACTGTGGCTCTAATTATTTAAATTACAGTTAACTAAGTCACTGGATATTTTCTTTTATTCAGACAACTGTATAAACCCTACAGGTGTTTGTGTGGTAAAATCCCAGTATATCAGCAGTTTGAGACCAGGCCGTCTGGTACCAACATCCAGACCATGTTCGAAGTCACTTTAATCACTTTTCTTCTCCCATTCTGATGCTCAGTTTGAAATTCAGGAGGTCATATTGACCACGTCTGCATTTCTAAATGCACTGAGTATTGGCTGGTTAGATATTTGCATTAACAGCAGATGGATTGGTGCAGTTATAAATGGCTTATCTGTCTTACCTTATGAGTAAGAAGTCTATGCTCAAAAACCAACTGGTCATTTGATAAATAAAGTCATCCAGTTAAACTGAGTAAATTATTACCCCCGAGTTAACAATTGTAAACTTCGGTGCCGACATCCATGCCCTGATGTGCGGATGGTGCCATCAACACTTCCCACAACAGATGGAGCTGTGTTCACCTCTGGCGGAGTGAACTTCAGTGTCAGAGGCAGGGCTGAGTCAGCCCGCAGGAATTAGGAAGTGTGTGTTTACGCCTGATTCAACGCTACATACGACAGCGAGCAGGAACAGAAATGTCAGCATCTGCTACACAGTCAGGTAGGTTTGATAAATTGTCTCGCATGTGGCGTTTCGGGGGCAGAAACCATGAAATAAGAAAGGAAAGTTAGGGGCGCGACTCCTCCACGGTCGGTTTACGGGAAGCAGCAGCTGCAAAGGGCGCAGCCAGCTGAGGTGAAACGCTTCAAAGCTCAATGTAGCAGACGAGCTTACGACACGCACACCCGGCAAACAGGGTGGGCCTTATCTCTGTAAACAACTCGCACGATAAAGAGCAGACAGCTTATACATGGCAGATATTTTGGGCTATAAGTGAATTTAAAAACTCGGTCCCTTTAAAGTGAGAACACTTCAGTGTATGAAATAAGTGCAGCGTGTCATGAAAACGTTTTTTTCTCTCTCTTGTTGAGCAGAGCTGAGGCTGGTGGTGCTGGGCCGGAGTGGGGCAGGGAAGAAGACTGCAATATGCAAAATCCTCGGCCTGCAAGACTACCAGCAGGACACAGATGATGATGCTGTCCAGGAGTGCAGCAAACACAGAGGGGAAGTCGCGGGCAGACAGGTAACAATAACTGACGAGTATGGACTGTGGTCCTTTATAAGTTCACCTGCTTATTTCTGAAGTCTGCATGTCTCTTTTGTGCTTTTGAAACATTATAGCCAGATGTTTACAAAATACAATACCTTAAAATATGAGTATAAATGTCAATAAAAAAACAAAAACCTTATTATCTATTAATGTGTTAATTTCCTAAACAGTTAACATTAATATCGGAGTACCCCAGGGTTCAATTTTGGGTCCTCTGTTGTTTTATGTTTTTGTTTTTTTTTTGGTTAACTTTTTTTTTTTATAATGGTGGTCATTGAGACTCAGTGTCTCATTACATAAGAGGCCTGTTTCAGACAAAATTATTACAATTTAGATTAAATATGATTTAGTTTTAAGTTTAGTCTATAAAGTAATAATTTACCTACATTTAGTCCACCTACTGTAACCTGCCAGATGTATGTTCATAATATGATTATACAACAATCAGGCATAACATTATCACCACCTGCTTAATATTGTGTTGGTCCCCCTTTTGCTGCCAAAATGAGCCCTGACCCATCAAGGCACGGACTCCACTAGACCCCTGAAGGCCTGATCTAGCATCAAAATGTGAAGGGGGGAGGGCTCTATTGATTGTTCTTCTTTGTCCAGCACATCTCACGGATGCTCGATTGGATTGAGATCTGGGGATTTTGAAGCCAAGTCAGCACCTCAAACTCATTGTGCTCCTGAAACCATTCCTGAACCATTTTTTGGTTGGTGGCAGGGTCCATTATCTGGCTGAAAGAGGCCACAGCCATCAGTTAATACTGTTTCCATGAAAGGGTGTTCATGTTCTGTAACAATGCTTAGGTAGGTATGTCAAAGTAACCACATGGTTCGCAGGATCCAAGGTTTGCGTGTAAAACATTGGCCAAAGCGTCACACTGCCTCTGCCAGCTCACCTTCTTCCCACAGTGCATCCTGAGCCTAGATGTTCCTAAGTTAAGGGATGCGCACGCAGCCAACCATCCATGTGATGTACAAGAAAATGTGGTTTATCAGACCAGACTACCTTCGTCCATTGCTCCATGGTCCAGTTTTGGTGCTCATGTGCTCATTGTTGAAGCTTTTGGTGGTGGGCAGGAGTCAGGACCCACTAAAAACTGCCACGATCAAGGGATAATCAGCGTTACTCACTTCACCTGACAGTGGTTAAAATGTTATGCCTGATTGGTTTACAGCTACATGCTAAAATCAAGTAGCAGGTTGCTGAAGAACTGTCAGCTGCAGTGGTGAAGACGACAAACTGACCATCAAATTCATGTTTGTCTTAATGTTTGCCATAAACCTGCCATTGACTGCAGATGAAAATTAGTCTGTGTGGCATATTTACATGAAGGATTTAAGGGCTTGTGTTAATATATATAAACTGTCCCTTTGAAATAAACATATATGTTTAAAAACATATATACAAGATAAATATTAAGGATCCGTTTCTGGTTGTTTTAGCGACACCTGTGCTTACAATGGTTAATAACAGAAACATGTTTGTGTGAAAGAAAATGTAACTCCTAATAAATTCTCTCGCTCTCTCTTCTTGATAACGTGCTGCTGCTTAATCGTGCAGATGATAGATGCAGTCTGAATTTTGTCCAGTGGCATTTCCTGTAAACAACTTGCATGTCGACATCACTGAATCCTCTCATCTGAAATGCAATCTGATGTACTCAGACGCAACAATGAGCATGAATGCATTTAAAAGCCAGTTTGCAGTATTCATTTGAGTTTCTTACCTCACAGGAAAAAAGAAATGTGTGCTTAACCAACCAGGCACATTTAAATGATTAAGAAAACCCACAAAATTAAGCATGACTGGGTTTCAAAATTTTGCAAAAAAACCAATAAGCAACTGCGAAACTCTCGGGGCGTATCTGCTCAAGGCTTTGGTTTACAGCGCTCGCACCAGCCAAAAGAAACTGAGCCAACAGACCTGGGTTTGTTTTAACACGTTAGTTGTAAAATCATAGCCTTGTTATATGCACTCTATGGTGTGAAATCTTGATGCACACTGATACTAAATATATTCATCACTTTGCAGCTGTTGCTCTCATGTGGTCAACTATATATATAAAAAACAAACAAATGTGGTTAATAGGCTCAGTAATTCTACCATTGGCCTTCACACCAAAGCAAAAACAAACACCTGAATCTGCTGGGTGGTCAATGCAGTTAAATTTGTTTTACAGCCTCCAAGGAAGGCAAAGTGGACGATACTACTGTGAAAGGCTTGCCTAGTGTACTTCTAATATAAGCAAACAAGGCAAGATACATTTATTAGTGTGAAGGAACTGCTGACAATGGACAAGGACAGGAGGATGAAGGGGAGGGAGATTAAGATGTTATATACACAGGCTGTAAATAAAAGATGGATGTAGCCACTGTGGTTGTGACCCACATTTTTTAATCTTAATTTTTTAACATTAGGGTTTGGCTTCCACCAATGTTTTTTTTTTTTTTTTCCGAGTCAGAAGTGCCCGTATTAGGTCAAGATTGTGAATTTCTGTATCATAAGCTAATGCTAACAAGCTTGCTTGCCAACCTGCATCTGTAAACTGTATGAACAGAGATACTGGCTAATGCCTTGTAATAAACTAATAAAATACTCAAGTTTTACTAACCAAAACTGGAGTGCACACTTCTCGGACGGGCTGTGCCACACAGAAAGCTTTGTTATTTGTCAGATAAGCTATTAAAAACAGGCCAAAGGGCCACAAGCAAGAACTCAACTGACTAGCCTTAAAAAATTCAAATAGGTGGATTATACAAACATACAATTGTTATAAGGATGTGAATAAATGTTTGAGACCAAAACTGTTTTAGCTGTAAATGTGTTATTTTCATTTCTGAGTCGAGCATTTTAAAAGCAGAGGATCGACTCGCTTTTGGAGCCAGCCTCAAGTAGTAATTTGAATTAGTTGTGTTTGAGCCCTGAGATTTGTTCCTTGGTTCCATAGCTTTCACTGGTAACAGATTGATCCATAAATCTGTGTTAAACTGGCTTCTGCAATTCAAATTCTGACATCCAAGAACAATTTACAGGTCAAAGGTAGCTAGCAAACTGCAGGTTGTAGTAACTTTCAGTGGATCAGCAGAACCACTGAGGCTAACATGTAGTGGATTCTGTAAGGCTGTAATATTAGGGTTTGCTATAGAGTTAGTATATTATTAAGACAAGAGTAAGTTCTAAACACACTTATAAATAAAGATGCAAAGGTATCTCAACAGTGCAGTCCAATGTAGTTCAGTCTTTTCATATTTTTTCAGTGCTTTTGTTTCCAACATGAAAAATGTGTTCAGTAAATCTCTGAATTTACTGACTTTAATCCTTATAAAAGTGTAAATATCCATGAAATTTGTGAAGAAATTTTGGAATTGCCATGCACACACAGACTGAACTTCATTCACGTAGTGAGTTCAGTTTAAGAATACCAAAGTAAAAAAAAAAAGCTTTGTAAATAACAGACATTTTTTTAAACAGGTGCATTGTAATCAATTGTAATTGCTTTTTCTTTATGCTTCTGTCACGTCTCTGCAGGTGGTGATAGTCTCTAGTCCAGCCTGGTACGGTTCAAGTTGTAACTCAGAGGAAAGAAGAAATTACATTTCTTCCTTCATTGCCTCATCCAGCCCTGGACCACACGCCTTTCTGCTCTGTGTCCCAGCAAACCAGCCGGCTGATGAAGAGGCCAAGGCACTGGATGTCCTGAAGAAGCTCTTTGGTTCCTCTGCTGTAAGCAGAAATACCATCATACTCTTCACCCACACAGATGTGCTGGATGAGGACGAGCAGCTGGAAGAATACCTCGTCACATGGCGAAAGGACCTAATGGAGCTGGTGGAGAGATGTGGAGAGCGCTACCACACCCTGGAAGCCCGCAGTGGAGAACAAGATGGAAGGACATCGGTGGAGGAGCTGCTGGAGAAAGTCGAGCAGGCAGTTATGAAGAGTGGGGGTTTACATTTTAGCTGCCCTCTGTACCAGGAGGCTGAGGAAAGGGTGAGAGAGAGGCAGGCAGAGATAGTGAGACAAAGAAGAGAGGAGCTGAATGACCAGGTGTCTCCCACAGACTCCCAACTGGAGAATGAGGAAGAATTGGAAGAGGTCCGGGAAGAAGCAGAGAGGAGCATAGGTGACCTGAATGTGGATGTAGATAGCATTTTTCCCTCTACTGATGTTTCACCTTCCACCTCTGCTCCGTCTTTCCTCGGGGGCTTGTGGGAAAAGCTGACTGGGTGGATTAGGTGGCTGTCCTCTCTGGTGAGAAGGGAGTCGCTGCTGGGGTCACTGGTCGGCCTGTTCGTGGGAGGGACGTATGGAGGTATGGTTGGGGCCACTGTGGGGTCTGTGGCTACTGAAGTGGGGCGAAGAAAAACAGAGAAAACTAAATGAGAAGCAATCTCATGTTTAAGTTGCACCTTAAAGCCACTCTACTGTGTTCCACAAACCACTGTATTACTGGGCTGTGGGCTTACCCACTAACACAAAATAGCATGTTTCCCTGATTACAAATAATGCTTTATAGATCAGTTTTAACCCATAAATAAGGACAATTTAGGGTTTGCTGGATTTGAAAAATCTTTTGGCTGGTATGTTCTCAAATGTAACTGCCGCTGTCTTTTTTGCTAGCTTAGTATTCAATATTGTCGGCATGACTCAGATCTTTGCCTCTTTCTGTACTTCAAGTACATGAAGACGCCATCTCGTCTGTAAACAAACCACTGAGTGGTAGCGAAAACTTGTCTTCCATGCAAACTGTTTTATTTGAGGGGTGGCTGGTTCTGTCCAACTTGCCTTTCCTTTTAGCTCTATTTTTGATCTCCATCAGCTTCTGAGGAAAATATCAAACTTTTAAGCTGCTGTGTTCACAAGCTAGTTTCTGACTTTGCTGTGTTCGTTTGTGTTTTCCCCTCCCTTTCCCCTCCCTTCCTCTGTCAATGAAAAAAGTCAGCGAAAACGTAAAAATCAACAAGCTTAAAAGAGTTGACATAGAATGCAGAGCTAGCGCTACACTAGCTCGTCAAACTAACTGCATCTAAACCCATTACTGTGAAAATTTTGAATATCCTTTTAACTTTCCTATAAAAAGGATATCATACAACAGCCAAATCGATTATTCATAACCTTGCAAGCAGCTCGTCCTTATGAGTGGACTATTACTGATCTCTAAAGAAATTATTTATCATTAAGTAACAACTCCTGAACCTGTTTTATGCTTTTCAGAGAGGGCACAGGGAAGGCTTGAAACACTTTTGTTAGGAGGCAATACCAAGAAGAATCCACAAGGTGGTGACATTGACCTTTATATAGAAGTTTGAAGTTTTCTGAGGTGAACTGAAAGATAATCATTTACTGCCTACCAAGCAAATAAAAGCTGCTGTTTTAAGTACACTCCAGTGTGATTTTTTTTAATCTGAAATGATTGTTCTTCACAGAGATGAGCTGTGGTTACTTGTAGTATGTATGTGTTCTCTTGAGATGCTTTTCTACAATGGCTTCTACCATACTGCAGATTAAAATGAATGGATATAGATAGCTGTGGTGCGAGGAACAAAAGCCCAGGGTTCACGCTGGAGCAGATGAGTCCCTCAGACTCTCTCAGCAGCACACAATGGCTTTGACACGGCAGTAATTGACACTCTTGCTTAAACCGTCCGTCATGGCCCGTCCTTACATCTCTCTTGTTCGCTGTTGCCTCTTGGTCTCTCTAAGCTGCCGGCGGCTCTGCCTCAGGAGCAGCTAGGCGTTTCCGAATGTGGGTGGTCCGGCCAGGGTGGGAGGGAGAGAGCAAGGCAGGGAGAAAAAGGGAGCGAGAGAGAGACAGAGAGAGAATTAGCCCAGCTCTCATGTTTCCCAAAAAGAGAGGAGAGGGAGGGAAGGACAGGAGAAAGAGAGAGTGAGTGAGAAGCAGTGAGAGAGAGAGCAAGAGTCAAAGGGAGAGAACAAGCTCTGGGACTACATCTGTCTTCCAGATGTGGCCTCCTCTTGTCTGAAACGGGGAGGAAAAAAAGGTTTTAAAAGTACAGGAAAATTAGTGCTAAACAGTTTTTTATTGTTAGGGATTACACATACAGTACAGACTACAGCATACAGCACCAACTTCAGAACCCACTCACCAGGATATGCTTCTTTTCCCCCCTGCTTTATGAAACTGCACGCTAGACTCCTTCAAGTTAATGTATATGAAAGAACACCTGTCCAAATATTATTCAGTCTTAGTGGATACACACCACGGATAAGGCAGAGAGCGCGGAGACGGAGTTGGAAGTCTGGAGAAAAATTAATGAGAATTTTTTGGGAGTGTAATTTTTTTTTTTTTTGTTTTGTTTTTCCAGAAGGATGTGGCGTACATAAGTATCTCAGTTCAGTAGCACTAATCAAGACCAGTTCCGTAGCTTGTGACGGCGGCCAGTATTAACTCTGGAGGATGAGACCTCACTGGGACAGAGAGGGGAGCTGATTTGTGCCTGTATGAAAAAAGCAAAAAGCCCCCAAAAAACAAGCAAAACATGTGAGGGGAATCAGCAGCGAGCCGTCATTAACTCACAGGCGGTAACTTCTCTGCTCCTCTCCCTCACGGCAAAAATGTTGCTGCGAGGGCCCTGCGGTCCCCCGTCGGATCCAGTCTGGTGGTGGTAATGGTGGTGGTGGTGGTGGTGGGGGAGGGCAGTCCGCTGTGAAGACACGGACGCCCGCAATATTTTTTTGTTATCATCGCGCCCCATGGCCTGGAAAAAGACAGCAAACCAAAGGAAAATAAACAAGATGACACACTCTTTCCCCTCACAGCACAAGGCCGTCCTTCTTCTTCTTCTTTTTTTTACAGGAACAGCGCACGACCATTATGGCAAGTGGTTAAACATGTTTAAAATTTTATTTAGTTTTTTTTTATTTACAAATAAATATGACTGTTTGCCAGATTGTAACTGGAAGAATTTGTGGGTAAATAAAACATTCTAAATATATTTGACAAAAAAGCAAAAATAATTTAAGGTAATTTAGCTCTAATAGCTGGAAAGAAATAAAGTAGTACAGCAAAATTATAATAATATAATGTTCGGATAAAATAATCACACGAGTTCACAGATGTTGTAAGTCAGCTGAGTGCTTTTTAACCCACCAATCTTTTTCCTTTTTTTTTTTTTTAAACAGTGTGACCTCAGGAACTATCTTTCTATCTGAGGGCTGTTTTTGTGTGCCGGCATGCAGGGCTGAGGCAGCGAGCGGTGTCCGACTGCCGGCTCGCTCTCCTCCTTCTCTCTGGGTGTGCTCGCTGTGAGCCCTCTCATCTTTTTCCCATTAGTGCTGTTTTCATGTTCCTTCCTAGCGTGAGCATGTGTGGCTGCGATTGTTTACCAAGCAGTGCTCGCCCCGTCCGACTGTGCGTCTGTGTCTGTGTGTGTCCAGCGGGGAGTATTCGACAGCGGGTCCAGACTATGATAGGAAATAATCATTAAACAAAGAAGAAGAAGAAGAAGAAGAAAAAGTTATGTGATGCTTCATTTAATTATTTCTACATTTTAAAATGTAATTACTGCAGTGTTAGAAATTAATTTTAAAGTGTTTAAATATGAAATGTAAAATTTTAAACAGTGAGTCCAGACTTTTTATTTTTCTTATGTTAGCTTTAAAATTCACCAGATGTGTTTTTTGACTGATTTCTAACATTTTACATATTTTCCAAACGCTTCTTTTTTAAAAATCATTTAGTCACATTTGTATTTAAACCATTTAAGCTGTGATTTATTACTTTTTACTAACTCTTACAAACTTAGTATTTTGTAGGTAGTTACAGTGAGCCGTCTGACACTATACTCATCAGCTATGCAATCTATTATCAAAGTCTTCCCACTCGGCCCTGCCTGTGGGCACATATTTGGGGAGCTATTTTGGAGTATTACCTAAATTAATTCAAATTTAAATGGTCAGAGCAGACTTAAAACATTTCATGTGATCAGCTGTCAAAGGTGCCTAAAGTGGTTGATCATTGTCTCTCAAAAATAAGGTTTAAAAAGGATTTCTCAAAGTTTTAAACTCTTTGAGTACCATGTCTCTCTCTGCCATTACAGACTGCTCTACTAACTGCAGTACATGAATATAGGCATTACTGAAAATCTCAAATATGGCTTATAAACATTTTTTTAAACTAGTTGAAATTTTATATCCAATAGCTACGGGATAATTTTTCCCACCAATTATTATTTGAAATGCATGAATTAAGGCTGTGCACTTAAATATGAGAGAACCTTCATGAATGTCAATTAGTAACACTTCATACCAAAACTGCTTTGAAAACCAAAAAAGAAGAAGAAATTAAAATGGCAGAAATAACATGGAAGACAAAGATGAGCTATTAAAAAAAAGAGCATGGATGTCCTTTCTCCTAAATTTGAAACACTGCTGAAAATAGAAAAGCGTCTGTGCACTATTTCCCAGATGAAGTGGAAACTCAGAAATAGAGGCAGTGCAGCTGACACGAAGCAGCTCCCATCCATGATCTGACCATAAAGGGCCTCCAGCGCACAGAACAAGGTGTCAGCACAGACAGGAAGAAGAAGCAGAAGAAGAAGAAGGAAAGGGAAAAAAAACAAGAAAGAAGCCCCCCAGATGATATGAATACAAAATCACACACAGCTGCTGAGGTTAGGGCTCTGATGGACACACACACAAGCATGAATGCACACCGAAGCTTCTGCACGTGTACGAGCAGCTGACTCGAGCGGGAGGACAGCTCGGCGAATCGGCCGGAACGAGAGCCACCCCTCGTCCCCTCCGGCATGACCCGAGCCTCTTCGCCCACACCCCCCTCCAGATGTGACAGAGGAAGATGTCCTGTGCGGACAGCGACTGGAGACGGGAGAAAGAGGAAAAGGGCTGAGACTCGGATGTGCGGTCTGGTTCAGGTTTGTACGCCCCGCCGGCATCCGTCTGTTAAAAGAGAACTTCCCAATATGGTCGCCACATTTGAGTCATTTATTTTCACTCGTACAACCTTAACATACGTTCTGACACTTGGATGCCAAAAAGGCACTGGGGCTTAACTAATACCCCGTGGCAACATGTCAGAATCGGATGACGATAAATGAGTTCCAGTTTGACTCAGTTCGCTTGCCAAGGGACAGATAAACAGCTAGTAGGAGGGTAAGGTCACGGGCTCGTGTGTCTTACAGGCGTGCGGATAAGCCTACTGTTGGGACACTTCAAAAGGAATCTATGGCATGACGGGAATGCTGCAAAAAGGATGGCAATCAGAATGAGAAAAGGGGTGAAGTGAGCTATTAAAGCGCACTGCAGGAGGCCACGTTTGCAGGAGGATGAGCTTTAGGGAGCGAAACATCGCGGGATGAAAGAAGCAGAAAAGCCTGAGCTCTGCTGGTGTGACAGCTCTGAGGAGTTAGCGGCCTCACGCTGCACCTCCTGCAGCAGATGGGCTTTGAGGATTGCAGGAGGGGTTGGAGGGGGGCTTCAGTCAGAGAAGAAGACAACTCACTACGCGGAGCTGCGGTGCGGGTGTTAGATGGCCCCTGAGCGTCACCATAATTGATGGATAGTGTGGTCCACATTAAGTGACATGCGCCGTTGGCTGTAAGTGGGTGCGATGATTGGGGGCCTTTTTGAAGCTGGGGCCGCGGGCTGTGTTTGAACCGTCAACAGAGACCCCTATTCTCTGTAAAGGACACCAGCCTGTGGTTTGGTCGCAGCCTCGGCACAGGCCAAGCACACTCACACACACACACACACATTATCCTTCAGTAGTATTATTGGGTTCTGGGGGAGGTGACTGTATTATTCCTGCTGCAACACTGACTTAATTCAAGGCAGATCTGACCCCGGCTCGTTCTCCTCCACTTCTGCTCTATTGGATCAAGTCTTAATCCTGCCTCCACCACATGAATGGGAGACGCAAAGAGGAGCTGCACTCGCTCCTGCCACGTACATCAAATGTCACTCAGGTCCATATGCTGTCATGCAGCTTATGATGGGTATCGGCGTGTCATATGAAAGCTAGAGGAGCTTAATGGAGGCCTAGAAAGACCAGAGCTGGAGACAGATACTCTGGGAGATTGGAGCCACAGCTCGCATTGATACAATGCGTCGTCCAAACCTGGATTTGATCTTCTGTGGCCTCGGTTGGTTTTTTTGTAGGTTTTATGTTGGTTTTTTTTGCAGATGCATACAAGCCTGACACATCCTCCGCCAGGAAAAAGCCAGGGGAGCTGGCCCGTGATACCACTTCAGAGTCGAGGCGCACAAAACAATCTCTAAATAGGAGCGTCTCAGGAGGCACTTTACAGTAAGCTATGACTAACAAACCCAAAGCACCTCAAAACAACGCTGGGAAAGATCCAGCTTCCGTCGAGGCAACACGAGCTCCCGCTTCTCAGCCAAACACATAATAACTCCTGCTCAAGGGCCCGTTTATTGTCATATCTTTTCAAAGTGACGCCAAACCCAAAACACACTCCACTCACACACGGCCTTGAGCTAACAAGGGATGTAGGCGAGGCTTTTTAGGGCTTTTCCAGCGACTGAGCTCACCAGACAGCCGATTGCGGGGGTCGACGGGTTTTTTGGTGCGTGTAGCGGTCCAGCTCTCACGCAGGGGAGACGCAGAGGCCCTCAGGGCGGTGGGCGCCCCCGGAGCAGACGTGCCCTTCAATCTCCATCTGAAATGAGAGACAGGCCATTGGTGCGCAGGGATGGGCCTCTGATTTGTTCTGTGGTCCCTTTGAAACCATGCATCCTGCAGAAGAGAGGAGGGAGAGAAACAGGGAGTAAACATGACAGGCAGGATGAAGGGAAAAGTAAGATTAAGATGTGCAGCTGCAGTGGCTTTACTTCAGCCCAGAGAGGGCAGTGGAATCAATGTGGAAATGATAAGACAGCGAGGAAAAAACTGGGGATACCCCGCACGCACTAACTTTGGTTCTGTGTCTTTTCAACACAAAAAAGTAACATGATCTGTCAAAGGGAAAGAATACGAGCGGCTATTTTAAAATCAAGGATTTCAACGTCAAATAACAAATCGATCGTGTTTCTGAACGCTACAAAGGAACTAATTCGATGTCAGATGAACAGTGATCAAAGAAAATGCAGAGTCCCTCCCGTACCATACACATATACAAATGTGTTTTAGTTTGTGCATGGTTTGTGCTCAGTCATAGATCGACGTGGTGTGGTGGGGGGGCAAATTGTGAGAGAAACAGACAGATTGTGGTGGCTTTGATGTGTGCTCAGAGCTCAGTCAACAGAATACATGCTAGGTGGAAAGAACAAAAAAAAGCAGTATCATAGGACAACTGTCTCTCTGCAAACCACTACAGTGGGACGAGTGCGCGTGTGTCTTTCTGGCCTGCGCACACTCAGTCATGTGCGCAGGCTATCAAGTTGTCGATCAAGAGGAGCGATGAAGCAGAGAGAAACGTTTTCTCTCACATCCTCAAGGAGGGCAGACGACTGACACACACTTAAAGGGAAACAAAACAGCCCCCACCACATCTAAATCCTGTTGTATTCTCTTCTCCTCAGAGGAAACTCGTGTGATCAGATCTCCGCCACCAATATGTTCCCCATATGTCTAAATCCAGCCGCCATTTCTTCCCCCTTTTTTTCAAGAAATTTGGTTTTCGGGGTTTATGTGTGTTTATCTGCACTGTGCATCGTTCGTATTAAGGGGGTCTTTGTCTGTCCTTTTGTGAAAGCTGACAGCTCGTCACTTAGCACTGAATTGATGCGTTGCTTTCACATAAGCACGCACGCACAAAGACACACAGCAGTGTTAGAAAAACAGGCATAAATCTCTAGTTCAGAGCCCGTGTTACCCCCTTTTTTTTCAGCAGAAAAACCTGAGTGCTCCTTTCCGACCGCAAGCTACCTTACTCTAATGGGCTCATTTAGACAAATTTATTTTGCCCCATTTCACTCTGTTATATATATTGTTAAATAGACTGGCATTTATGTAGAGCTCTTCTGCTATTTTTGGGCTTTCAAAATGTTTTTACACTACAAGCCAAATTCATTCAAATTCAGTCATATTTTCATGCAATTCAAATGTAGTAAATGTTTCAAATGTATCGACTCTCTAAATATTTTAATCAATATCTATTATATACTTTGTATTTTTTCCAAATTAGTTGAGATACTCAGAATGTGTAGAAAAGACAGATGAAAGTGAAGCTAATGTGGAAGTCTCTTAAACCTGCATTGTTGCTAGTGGTCAGTAGGGGGCGACTCCTCTGGTGGCAGATTGTGTAGAAAACTATTAGAAAATTAAATTTTCACCTTATTTATGGCCCTTCTAAATTAATTTGTAGTCTTAAGCAATAATTACAAGTTTCAGTGACTATGAATTTCATTTTATCAATTATGGTTCCATTCAGAGTAAAATAAATAATAAAACAGAGGATTCTTTAAGTTTTGGCTACTTTTTGATTGACGGCTCACTTCAGTATGAGGGATTGTTTCTTTACTTTTTCTCAGGCAGATCCACCCCCTGAAAAAAAATGAAATGAAATAAGATAGTCACAGACAAACTGCTCATCTTGAGTCCACAAACACACAGGTGGCGTCACCTTTCATATACAGTTCATGGACCTCACTTAACTACCTTCTTGTGGGACAGCGCCAGTGCCCTTGGGTGGGAATCTCTGGCATAGGCCCGGATTTGACTTGTGGCTTAGCAGTGCAAACAGATCGTGCCGATATGAAGCCCATCGAGCAAAGTCAGTGTTTTTTCAATCTAAATTCCAAGATTACTTCACTTTTAAGCACAATGCCAGACCCCAGTCACAGCCAACATCTGAATACACCATCACTCACTGAAATATTACAGACATCAGAAACTCACTCGCAGCATGGATTTAACAAAAAAAAAAAAAAGGATTGTAATCACACGGCCCATCTCATAATTAACGGATGCTATGACTCAACTTGGTCACAGCATGGTAATTACCTCAGGAGGCTGTCATATTTATTTAACTAGGAAGCTAAGACTGCTGAAGTCCAGCCATGTCATATGTTAGATCGTGTCAGATTGAAACCATGACACATTAAGCTGATTTTCCCCCCTCCTTCCTCTCGCTCTGTTGCACCAGGGTGGTCCTCACTCTGGCTCCGGCCTCGTTAGTGTGTGTGTGTGGTGTGTTTTCAAGACTGTCACAACAACATGACCCCCAGAACATTTCAAACATACACACACTAATTCTGCTCAGACACGGGCATCTTGCGTTTCCAAATCTGCACACATGCACGCACACACCACAAAACCTCTGTCCTGGCTGCAGGGATAGAAACAACAATGCTGCCTTTGACACTGACCCTAACCTCCAGTCCATCCCTCCACCCCCCCAAAGCCCTCATCGCCCTCCCACGTCCCCCAGGCCTAGCGCTGGCCACAGGGCCGAGAATGCGATTCAGGTGCAGGACTCTGCTGTTTCCAATTAGTGGGGTATAAATTAGAATCACTCTCCCCTGTCCTCTATCCAAACATTGCTGTCTCTTCATCCTTGTCGACCCTACACACTTAACTCTGCCTCTGACCTCCCGCCTGTATCACTCTGAGACATAAATTCACTTCCTTTATGGCTCTTGTCGGCAACCTCTGGACTCCTCTAACTCATGCTCAACGCTGTTAATGTGCAGTGCATTTGGTATAAAACCCTCCATTTTCAGTCAATGAGAGTATAAATCCCGAGCCATATATCTGACTTTGAAAGGAATATAACTTCTGGTTTTACTGTACTGTCTGGTTACTGTAACTGAGATATTTCACAGAAGACAAGGACATGCCCTGACATATGCACTCCACATTGCAGCAAGGCACGCTCTGATAAGGTTACAGAGAGATTCAGTTAACTTGTGAGAGGAAATGTAGACTTATTCCTCGACTTATTAGACAGTGTGTTTGCGAGCTTTTTCCTCTACAGGTCAGTCTGTTAAACTGAGTGTTATTATTCCAGGGCAGAGAGATCAGCTGCAGTGTAGCCAAGTAGGACCTGAGGTCACTCTGGTACTGAGAGTTCACATCTGTTCAAATAAATCCTCCACTGTGCCATCAGCAGTAAAAACACACACATGCAAGCTGCAGCAGAATGTAACTAAGCACATTTAGAAGAAGAAATCTCAGGCATACAAGCACATTTTGGTTAATATATTTGTTCACATATTTGCTTGGTGGCTTTGGACAGTGGAAATGTGATTTTATGCTAGGCTACTTGTTGTCCACAACAGCGTGTAATTGAGAGGTTTAGTAAAACTTATTCTGAACAATCTTTCAGTCCCACAAAAATATTTTTTGGACTATATAGTTTAAAACATATGCATAATGCTGATTTATATGATCAGCAGAACACAAGAAAACAGGTCACTGTTAGCTAAGAGTAGCCTAATGGATAAACGGTAATAGCTAGCTAAAAATTAAGAGAGGATGAGAGAAAATGTTATATATTGCAAAAGCATGAAATTAATAAAACTTCAGAATATAAAACTTAAGAGACTGATAACAAGTAAACAAGGGAACTGCTGAAAGTGTTCAGCTAAGCTAAGTTAAAACTGTTAGCTATTAGCAATAGCTAAATAGCTGACATTAGCACATAAAAAGGTACCGGTAATGGCTAAAAGTAACAGATAAACTACTGAAACAGCTAATATTACTGGATTTTGGTGTAAATGTGAACAATTAATAAAAGAGCTGAAAGAAAAACAGGATAGGTAAATGAGCAGTAAATAAAACAGTAACATACCAATTATTATACCAAATACTGCATTAGTACTCATAATCCAATAGGACAGTGTGTCTATCACTTATAACAATTCATCATAAGGTTGATACTTTAACCATTTCTTGCTAATAATACTAAATAAAAAATATATTTTTCTATCCAGAACTGTCACAAGTAACAAATCCCAGCACTGCATACACGTGGAATACACACGCTAACACTTTGGCACACGCTTTCTCTCAAAGTACACGACACCAAGAAAAAATAAAGAAAAATAACAAGCAAGCACCATGATAATATTTCATCATTCACTTTTTTTTACATTCCTGACTTTGGCACCTGTCATGTGTGTGGTTTTTATTTTTTATTTTTACAAGCTCAGGCTGCTGTTACAGAGAACACAGCACGCAGGAGCGAGGAAAATTTACAGAGCGTGTCCTCTCCGGGCCGTGCAGTGTTCACGGGGATCAAATGCTCCCAAGGTGTGGAGTGTGTGTGTGTCTATATAACTCTACATTTCTCTCCACTGCCACTATACCAGCACCAGAGCTGCTGCCCCCGCCTTTTACAGAGCCCAGGACCTCAGTGTGCCCTCTGAGTTTTCTCTTTATGAGCTCTAGTTCATCCTTCGACTTGCAGAGAAAACAAGAGCTGCACAGGCTTTTATAGGACTCCTGGGGAATACACAAAGAAGAAAAAAAAAAAGAGAGCAAAGTTTTTAGCAGGCAGTTAGAGGCTTCTGCACTGTGAAGGATGACTGATAGAAGAGGCTGAAGTGTTGGGTGAAGGATTAAACACAATGTTACCCCCATTTACCGCAGCCTCTGACCTTCAGCTGCCCAGATGATGATAGAAAAATGCTCCAAAGAGACAAAGCGAACCAGATGAAGATGAAGAGAAATAAAAGGCAGCCACAAGAAGGGTGTGAACTTTCCCCCACCAACACGAGCTCACTTTTGTGGGCTCCCTCCTCCACGGGGAGTACCCAAGATAAACAAGCCTGTTCCTCTAACACCTTTCACCTCTCCTCCTGACCTCAGTTCATCCCACCTTTTTCACTCATCTCTGGAAAACGTTCTCCCCTCCACTCCTCTTTGTTACTTCCTTTCTCCCCATCCGTCCAGATGTTTGGCCCAGTGGCGGCAGCAGCAGCAGCAGCAGTGAGAGCGAGGACCCGGGGCTACGCGGTGGGGATCTCCAGCAAGGATCGGAATGCTGACCCTCTATCCATCTCCATCAGTGGAGACGGATTTGTTTGACTTGAGATGTGATTGTGTTTTCTCTTCCCCACACCTGCAGCTTCCTCTGAACCGTGCTCCCACCCACTCACCCACCCATTCTTCCTTGGACCCTCGCGATCAATTGCTTTAACTTGGCAAAACACTCGTCCAGCTGCTACTGCTTTTCCACATCTTTTATATTTTCTCTTACGCGGCCGGCCTGCCAAGTAAGAGTTGCAGTCGCATCACAGCAAATTGGCGTTTTGACAGATATTTGAATCCAATGAAGTCATGAACTGGAGCGGTCCACTGACAGTTCCTGTCTCTTTCTTCTGTTTGTTGTCACATGTGCTTTGATTGACTGTAGTGAAAGCAGGCCTCTGGGGGAGTAGTTTCATTATCAGAGGCTGCTCATGTGGGATCTGCATAAAATAATAAACCTCCTCTGTCTTGTGATGGTGTTCTCTTCCCACCCGGAGCTGAGCAGGCATTGTGACTTTCAACAAACTGTGGTTTCTTGCAGATCAAACATTCCTCTTGTTTTTGAATTTATCATGCGGCAAACCCGCCCTCATTAGTCAATGGCACTCAGCAAGTTGTAGCGTTTAATTCCGCGGGGCCGCCCAAACTTATCACCCTTCATTTCAACATGGTGGGCTGCCCTGTTGCTGAAACCCTCTCAAGCGGTTCCAGACATCTGACAACAGCCACATTTATTTATTGACTTCATTTCGCTTACAGGGCAGCCTTTACAGCTCCCTTGAGTGATACAGAGTTAATGTAGAACTGTTCATTGCTCGTGAGTGTTTTTTCACTCCTCCTCCTCTACCGCCACCTCCTCTCCCTCCTTTTTAAACTGTTCTTAAGTGTTTAAACACGCGGGTAATGACGTGCTGTTGTGGAAGTGAAAAACCATGTGGGATAAAAAAAGAAAAACATCCATGTGGGCTTTTTCCCCCAAGGAGAGCGCGAACCACCGAGGACGGGATGAGAGCGAGGAAGGCCCTGTTAATCAAAATGAATGAGCACCTCTCAGGGCGCTTGTGTCGACGAGGCCGTGGAAGAGCTCTCAGCCCCCTTTGCTCTGGGAAAGTAGAGCACTGGGTGTAAAGAGAGATCCAGACACTGTGACCAACACAGCTAGTGGCCAACCAAACTCGTACTTCCTGTTTGCATGACCTTCCAGCGTCATGTAGACAGTAGGTCAGAATAAAGAAATATATTTTATTTATTTATTCTTTTAGAGTTGTTAAGCAGTTTAGACAAATCTGGATATTTTTCCCCCAGCTGTTTATTTTAATACTTGCATCTTTTTCAGCCATATACTACTTTTAGCCTTTTCTTCATTTATCTGCTTTCAGCTTTAAAATTGAACAACTTTGAGATAAAAGCTATTTTATGTTATTATTTTTAGCTAGCTGTCTCAAAATCTTTGTTAGCTTATCAATACCTTTACCAAAACAATTTTTTCAAATCATAACTTCTATTTATTTATTTTAAATTATCAAAGCTGCTCATTTGCAGAAATGCGACTATAGCATCTTCTGATATTGAAAAGTACCATTGATCCAAATGAAATATTGATAAAGCCGGCCACTTAATTCACTTAATTAGTTTACTGGTTACAAATGTCAGTGCTTTGCAATAACTGGATTCCAAAAGTGTTGGTACTGTGCTGATGGAATCAAATCAAATCAAATAAATCATCACAGTCCCTGTTGCTTTTACAAACAATAGATGTCAACATTAGCTTAGCAAAGCAATTTTAAACAGAGGGGAAAATATGTTTGCTTTATCCAATAGTAACAAAAGTCAGCTCACCAAATATTACATATGGTGTTCCTTAAGTGAATGTAAAAACATTTAAAACACAAACTGGGGATTAAGTTTACTGTTTTCAGTCATTACCTTAAGCTAAGTTAGCTAGCTGCTGGTGATAGCTTTAGCTTGGACAAATGAGAATGGTGCATTTCGTTTACCCAAGAACAAAATGTTAACAAACATACTAGCAAACATGCCAAAATTTTATAAAAGAAAGACAATTATTGAGTCAAATAACTATTTAAATGTCTAATTATAACAGGAAACTATTTATGTTGGCTTGTCTTCGGCTGACTGAAGAGAAGTCAACTTGGAGGAAGCTCGTCAGAGTTTAATAACCTAAGACTGCCAAATATTAAAAATGATTTTGAGTTAATTAAGTACATCTTGGTAAGACGAGCCACAGCTGCAGAGAGCTTGGATTGCAATGAAGAAAATTGTTGTTACTGAGAAAATAAAAGTGGCTTGATCACAGGTCCTTGAGGTGCTCCAAACTGAACTGGTTCCTGCTGACCATCATACAGAGCTAAACCAGAATACGGCTCGTCATTAAATTGCCATTAGTAAGAAGCAACCATTTCTGCTTTCATAGATAGCATTTTTGCAGCAGAGAATCAGCTGTAGCTGTTTTTAATCGAAAGGAATTTAAGACAAGACAAAATAAACACAAGTGAAGTACGAGCTACAGTTTTTTAGCCAAGATAGTACGACAAAAAAATATGAGCAAAAAGGAAATCGCATTAACTTGGAATAAAAGAGGAGACATTAAAGTCGTCATTTCATTAAAAGAGCCATAATTATTGGTGGCTACAGCTTACATAACCCTACAGTTATTATTGCATAGCAGCCTTCAGCCTTTTGAGGATTATCATGTTTTTGCTGTTTTTCCCTTTTTAGCTGATTGAATTTAGGCCCTCTCTGTCTCCTCTCCCTACTGTTGCTCCTACCGCGTTTCACAGAACGCCTTCAACTCAGCAGCTTTTTCAAATTTGGGGCTTGCGACACTCAGCCAAAAGCCGCAAATTACCCCCCTCTAGCAGCAGCGAATTAGGAACAATTTTGTGTTAGCTATAAAAAAGCGAGGGAGAGAGAGAGAAGTGAGGGGAAAATATAGCTTACACCAGGGACCACCAACAGAGGCAACATGGGATGAGCGGCTCGTCGGCCGACAGTTTGGGTGGCAGGGCGGTGCTAGAAAGCAGCCTCAGTGATCTTCAGAGCAATCAATCCTATCATATCACATCTACATAGTACGGCACAACATCCATTACCAAACACAAAGGCCTGAATTAGTGGATTTATGTTGCTGTTACAGGATGTTTGCAGGCCTGTGAATTGGCTTTACAGTTCCCTGAGCACACAGAGACCTGCAGCAATGACACTGACAGCCTCACAGCACCTTACGGCACCTTACAGCCTTATTCACTCCAGCGACACCGAAGGGGAAAGGATCCATATGAGGTGACAATTCACCGCCTGGAATTTTCATTCTCCCTTTCGAAGAGGGTGGGATTTTTGATTTCCCTCCACTATGCGGTTGGTCCTCAACTCAGGGCATTAATGTAAAAAGGGGGTCTTTTTCTTGTTTCTTACAAAGCGTGAGGTTTGGCATGCCCACTTAATCTGCTTCCCTTGAGCCAATCCATGTTTTTCCCATTCTGGCACCCTTTTCTACTCCCTTTTAAAATCCATTTCCAAGTTGTAATATGCCACTGCAGACGTTATTGAAGGGAGGAAAAACCAAATGTAATGGGGGAGAGCGGTATAGAGAAAAAGAGCAGACGGAGAGGGAGAAAGAGAGGTTTCCAACTATTAACTGGCTAGCGTACCCTGCTCTTCATAGCGATGCCTGGTGTGGAAGGCAGACCACTTTGTCTTCCACGGAGATCAGACGGAGCGGGCGGGCTGCAGCCAGGTTGGGGTTACTGACTCTCATTAGGTTTACACCGACCACCGGGACTCTGACTGCGCGACTGTAACATGAGCCTGCACGGTTATAACCTGACCCCTCTCTGACACACCTTAGCCCTGATGTTA